TGTGTGTGTGTGTGTGTGTTATCTATTGTAAAGAAGACAAGTATAAGAGTTGTTTACACATGGTCTGTTAATGAAGGTGTAAACAGGCAGATAAAACACTCAAAAAGAGAAATGACGGGGTTATAATCGGCCACCAGGTGATGGTACTACTCGTTTATCCACGAACAATAAGCCTTTCTGAAAAAAGAGCATGAAAAGTTTTGATTTCTTCGGCATTCGAACTGCAAGATGAACTCAGAAGATGCAGGAAACTCACTTTGCCATGAGAGCTTTATCAGCCGAAACACCTGTTATCCTCATTGCAATGTATATTTATAATATACAAAATCAAATATGATACATCCCACTGCGAATGCTTGATTGTATTGATATATATTTATATATTTATTACATTTGTTGTGGCAAAATCTGTATATATGAGGAGCCAGAACTACGTGAAGACAGAAATGCTGGTGGTTAAACTTCAGACAAACTAGTTTGGCAGCAGAAATGATTATATTTTGAATTATTCATTGTACGAAAAGTCATGTTTAAATGCTACGGAGACATCAGAACCACCAGTGAATAAATAAAGGGCTTCTTAGATTAGATTGTTCACACCAGGGATGACAACCAAACAGAAAGCTACCGTTGATGGTTGATATGTCTTGAGATTATCAGGTCTTTGTGTCTCTGAAAACATTCGACGGTCTTGACGAACTGGAAAGCTTAACGTTAGGACAAAACTTCAGGAAGTAATGACTCCCAAATCAAGAAATAGTCACACGCAACTTGACAATTTAAACTTTTTGAACAGGTCAGAAGAAAATAGTTATACTTTTTCCAATAACTATTGCACGAAGCCTGGCTCTCTCCCCTGGTCTCAGTCAGCTTTCTTTCTATTCAAACAACGGCAGCTGTATGGATTATCTCATCTTATTCTCAGCAAGAAAGTTCATAATGTACTTTCAGCATCAGTTTACTTTTAAATCCAATCTGTGGTCCACTTTATTTTCCTATAATCCTATGTTACTAAGGTTCAATGGTCACAGTGTCCTAAATTATGGTTTAAAAAGAAGGGATTCACATTATCACGGAAAGCTGAACCTTGTAACTTTACGATATACAGTCTAGAGTAGGGGAGTCAAAATCAATTTCATCACGGGCCACATCAGCATTATGGTTGCACTCAAAGGGTTGGTTGTAACTTTAAGACTATATAAAAATACATATATAAATAATGTGTTGTATTACATTATTGCCTCTGCATTGGATTATTAACTGATAGGGTGATAACTTCACAATTAACTACGTCTGAAAGCAGAAGTCTAGGGCAAATCATTGCAAGTCTCTTAAGTGAGAATGTCACAAAATGATTTAAAAAGAAAAGCCAAGTTCTGGAGAAAAAAGTCAAAATCAAAACAAAGAAGTGACAATTAAAAAAAAAAAGGAACATTTTGAAGAAAGAAAGTCAAATTCTGAGAAAAAGGTCAAATTTGAGATGCATTGTGGGACATGTAGTTTATGGGCAACGTGCTTCTGTAAATCGACATGTAACCGTATAATAAACATATTATATTCTTTCCGAGCTCTTGAGGGGCCGCATTTAATGAAGTCGCGGGCCGGATTTGGCCCCCGGGCCTTGAGTTTGACACCCCTGCTCTAGTTAATACAAGCTGTGTGTTTCGCCTGCAGGGCTGCAGCAGATCACAAACGTTAGTATACAATGATTGACATCTCCATTCAAATATCTGCTTTATTGGTAACGATTCAACTGAGACTGAACT